AATTATAATCAAAGCTAGTAAAGAATGGATAATGTTGTGGAAAAGTTAGAAATAGGTGCTTTCTAGCGATATATGCACTTTGCTTCCAATATGGCAAGTAGTGGGGGATTAGATCAGAGGCAGATTTAGCTGAGGTAGTACCAGATTTTTAACTTCTCTTTTTATACTTCTTAAACAGATTTATCATTTTCTATAGTTTTTCTAGCAATGTGTAGACTTTAAAAAAAGGGGGGAAATTATAATGATCAAAAAGATATATGCATCAAATTTCTAAAAAATAGAATCTTGTTTATAATTCTCCCTTTATAGTTCTCAAATCATTTGAGGAACATGTATTAACTTGGTTCATATTCTATACTGTGAATTTTTCCTTATTAATGTTGTTATTAAACCCTATAGTATGTATGATATTAAGGAACTTCCAAGTGTGTCTGGTATCAGAGCTCCACTGGCTGTCTTACATGTCTATGGAAATCCAGCTATAGTACCAAAGAACTTAAAAACCTAAAATGGTGATTACGATTAGAGAGGCACATACTTTCCCTGTTTTCAGAGACTTCAGCAATACCTACTGCTGATGATTTAAAGAGAGACACTCAGTTTCGAAGGCCCTACTAAAATAAATCTCACATCCAATTACCGTTTTAAATTCTCTTTTCATTTGTGCAGTGGACAACAAAGTGTCCTTTTAAGTAGCATTTCAGCAATTTTAAACCCTGTACTGAAAATGATTGAAGAAACTGGGATATAGCATGAGTAAACAAGAACATACCATACCCTGAGCTTTTGGTGAAGAGATTACAGCTGTGTTTAGGTGTTAGCGTGGCTACGCTGTTTTTCTCCTCAGTTATTTCCCAGTAAGATGTTAGTCCAGCTACTTCAGAACTAGTGCCAGTATGGTAACAAAACGCTAGCAAACACTTTTTTCTTGTTATGTCCTGAATACTTGTTCCAGATATACTGGAAAACAGTGGGACTTACCTTGTTCTAATTAGTGGTGCATCAAAATTGTTCATCAGATGTTTTCTTAGACAAGAATTTGTGAGTGCACGTGTTGGTTTCGATACATTGGTTTAACATTCTGTAAAATACACAGATAATTGCATTGACTATTAATTTATTCACAATACTTTGCCATTGCATGTCCTAAATGTTAGTAAACTGTTTACCTAGAATGATTATTTCCAGTGTAAATTATCATGAAGCACTTAAATGTCCCTCATTTTAATGAGAAATAAGCATGCTGGCATAATAGTGAATAAATGAACCAATGACTATGTGACTGAACCAGCTTACTGATTTTCAGTGTGACAATATAGTTTAAATCCTTCTTACTATTTTCAGCATGGAAATAGGAATCTATTCTGCTAACCTTCTGAGCTTCTAAATTTGGTGTCATGCAAGGGCGTGTTTAAAAATTAGCATTTAAAAAGAAACCCACTTGCTTTAAGTTTAAGCTGACACTGTTCCTTTCCTCTGTGGAAATGAAATTTATTAATCATAATAAAACCATCATATTCTGAAGGTAGAGGTCACCCTGAGGAGAAAAAAAAAGTCTGTTCATCACAGAGGAATTTCAATGCATTTTTTTCCCCAGATAATATCTAAGCATGTATTCTCTCCCCTTTAGAAATATATTCTTCCATGTTTTGTGCTTACATATGTCAAGTGTATTTAGGAGTGTGCAAGAATAAGCATTTTGCAATTAATATCCTATACTTTATTTTCTTTTACAGAAGATTTGGAAGAATGCTTTTTACGTTGTATTTTATGGTTACCTTGCACACATTTGTTCAAGTGGAATTTCAATATCCTGTAAAAGAAAAGGAAGAAGTGTTTCTTATTTTAACAAGAATATAAGCGTTGCTAATTCTGAAATATCATTTTTATGTTAATATCACAATACAAACTTCAGCATTATCATAATATAAATATCAACCATTCTTTTTACGGAGAAAGGATTAACTTAGGCCACATTTTTCATGTTACAATTACTTCACAACTCTTGTTTTAAGGAAGAAACATGGTTTACACAGTAGGATGAAAAAAGTCACGTAAAGCACTGACAAGAAGTTATTACTACTTTGGCAAAAGAGTAATAAAAATGTACTCAGAAGTAAATACTGGGTTGAAATGTCATTTTTTCTTTCTTGTGAAATTGCTTAATGTGCTTGTTTATCCATAATTTCCTCTTAGTTGTCCAGATTTCTGTAAAATATTGATGTAATACTATTAGCAACATGTTTTATTACATCAGTGTTGTAAACTCGCTGGTTACTTCAGTAGTTGGGTTAAGTACACTAATAATTTAATAAAGCCTGAGCTCTATGTATCGAGGCTTGTTCCTTCCTTACAAGCGGCCCTTGCGTTAGGCCAGTTAATCCCCTGCCATGGGTGACCCGTGAGACTTTCAGTTTTGTGGGACACTGCGATATAGTCAAGGATCATGCAGGAATGGGATGCAGTATGGAGCCGGGATGCAGTATGGGGCCAGAATGCAGCCCTCCAGCAGGAAATGAGCGGAGCAGTGGGGAAAAAAAAGCTCACAGAGTAAGTCCCAGTGTAGTTAATGGTTTACGCTAGACCAAAACCAATGTAATTCTTACAGATCTAGATTTACAGTCTCTGCTCAGTACTGCAATAATACCAGTTAATGAGGAAAAAATTTGAAAATATACCGATTTCCGTTGCTTTAAAAATAATAGTACATGTAATTCCTCCTCCATGTTACTAGGGATATGAGGGAAATTTATAATGCCAGAAAGAAGTCGAGTTTTAAGTTAATCATTTTCCCTCTCTAAGTGTTTTGTCACTGTTTGAATGAGATTTTGCTTGAGAGAATTAAAATTATAATGATGTTTAAAATGGACTTTAAAAATGGGCATACAGAGGAAAATAAGGTGTATTCTTCACTTCAGTGTAGATGAACAAGACATATGAGATTCTGTTATGGCTCCTGTCAAAGCTAAATATTTGAAATCTCTAAATATTATAATGTTTGCATCCTAATGTGGAGAGTTACCAAGGCTGAGGTTTATGGAAGTTCTTCCAAGCAAAGAGGCTCCAGAGTGTGGGGTCAGTGTCAAACCTGCTCAAAGAACTCTTAGCACCCTTTCCAACTCAAAGGATCACCAAGTGCCATTTATCCAACATAGGCTAATGTGAGCTATTTTTCCTTCCATTTTTTTTGTATGGGAACTACCTGGTTTCTTTGTTGTTAACTGCCTTGGATAATTTCTGAAGATAGGTATTAATGGATATCAAGTATTTAAATGGAATTGTTATATAAATGTAATCCTGCAGTCATCAGTATATTGGATGCAAAAGAGGAACTAATATGTTTTATACAAGTCTTTACCCAGATTCCCCTGAGTTTAAGACCATGACTTAAAGAAGGTGGTTACCCAACATGCTGCTTCCCCTGGATATGCATATATATCTTTGATAGCTATGAGGACTTCTCTGCCCAAATCTAAAGTCAACATAGCTGTGGGGTAAGATATAGAGCCCACATTCATGAACTTCTGGTACTTTTATAGGTTTAATAGATTAACTCCTTGTTAATGTATTATCCCTTAATAGAAAGTTGAATTTACTAAGTAAACAAGACAGTACAACTGAAGGTGTTTAGCTACTATGGTTGTATGTAGTGAAACATCCAGATTTTGCCATGGAATACTTCATAAGAACATAGGTAAACTTTACACTTACAGAACTTTTTTTCACTTTTTTGCATCAAGGTGTATGGTTATATATCCTTGGAAAAGGAAAAGGTAATAACTTTTGCAAATCTGTGACCCTAGGCTTGGTCAGAGAGTGAGAGACATTCATGTAAAGTCTCTGCCTTTTCCGTGCTGAACCCTTTTGCCTTTAGATAGCACAGTTGTCCTGGGAGGTGGCTTACTAGGATTTCCATATGCAACAGATCCCTCATACTCTTGCAAATGTTGTCTCAGTGAAGACCATCTTGTCCATGGTAAATTCTTCTCCTTCCTTGAAGGTGTCACTGGGAAGGTAGGAATGTCTAGTGCAGATAGATAATTTGGACCTTTTCTCTGCCTCACATCCAGACCCACAGGAGTGGGTGGTGGAGGATTGCATGTGCCATGGAAACGTTCCTTGCTCAGCTGATTATCTAGGAATCAGCTAATCAGGTTCTGCTTGTGGAGGAGCGAGTACATGACAATAAAATAGGGCAACTTTTCAAAAAAAGTAAGTTTATATTTGTATCTGAAAAATAAGATAGTTACACAGAATGAGACCAGTCTGGGGTTACAGTTCACATAAAGAGAGAGATATCAGGAGTATTATTAAAACTTGTTTACTACATTAGCCCTTGTATGCAAGATGTCTCTATAATTTCAAGATTGCTTTTGTTGTAATAAGTGACACCTGAGATCAAATAGAAATTCTTTGGTTATGGAAAAATATGTTAGATATATCCAGTGAAACTTATGTCTAGTTGACATGTCCATCTCACTAGTGGTAACGACATTCAGGCTCGGGCTGTGAAGCAAAGCTGTGTATTTCCAGGTGAAGAGGAGGACTGGGCCAGCAAATCAAGGTGTACATGTAAAGAAGCTCTGAAGTAGTTTGAACTATAAGGACTTTGTATGGGAAGAAGTGAGAAAAATCTGATTTTCAAATCACTGTGTTTGCCTGAAAATTGAGACTTCAGCTGTGCAAGTATCACAGCCCAGGGTGACACTCTGTCTCTTCTGTAGAAAGATCAGGAATGGTCCTTAAAGCCAGGTGCCTGCTGTTGTTCTACAGCCACTTTCATTAGCCTGATGCTGATTCTTAATAGGCCCGTAAAGCTAATTATACATTCATTGTCATTTA